AGGATGGACCTGCCCCCCTGCCTCTGCCCCCATGTCCAATAAGAAGAGACCCGGCTTGACACCTGCCTATATACAGAGGACGAGAGCAACATCTTCAGCGCTGGTCTTTGGAGGGGGGGGGGAACCGACCCAAAACACAACACATCAGGTCAGAGCGGGGGGCTCGGTGGTACTATAAAACCCCCCCAAGACTATGACTTCCAGTAAAATTGAGATGCCAGGGGAGGTGAAGGCAGATCCTGCAGCTCTGATGGCATCTCTGCATCTGCTGCCTTCTCCCACTCTCAACCTTGAAATCAAATACACCAAGGTAAGTTGTGTTCATTTGTTCTGGCAGGGAAATTCATGGCTTTCCCTCCAAAGGAGGGATTTTGCTTAAAATCAGTTTCATTCTGCCCTAGCCAACTTGAGTGTAGAGATAAAAAACTACTAAAAGACTGCCTTGAATCTGTAATAAAGGAAACGGATTTTTACCCTGTAATCATCTGAAAAACCACAGGATAATAGAAAAGCAAATTAGATCCGTTGGGACTGGCTTTGCCACTTTACTTTTCTTTAAACGTAGTATTTTCTGCAGAGCTGTTGGGGTTTATTTTCAGTGCAAAATCAGTAGTTCTCGAGTACGTTTCAGTTGCTTTTGACGTACTTCAGAGGAAGTTACTATACATACCTGTATATCTGAATCAGAAAATAAAAATGTTTTCTTTTTTGAATTACCGTGTGTGCCCAAGGGACTCTTTTACAATTCCTGGAGGACTCTTTAATACTACCAGGTTGTTACAGCACTGGAACAGGTCTCTCTACTAACTTCCGTGGTACGTGAATACACCCTTGAACAATAATGCAAGAGGGCATTTTTTTTCTACTAACATTTAAGACTAATTTTCATAAAGAGAGGGTTAAGAACAAATCCATTGGGTCAATGTAGAAAAATCTGCTGTTTTTCTATGGTGTGTTATGGGACTAAGTTGTTTTTGTTGATTAAAATGGGCTTTAAGAACAGTCATTTGTTTCTAAATGGAATTTGAATTTTTTAATTCATTTATATATTTTGAATCTTTGCATCTTTACTATCTTTAGTTAAAGAATGTTTTCATTTCTGTTGGAGAAGTTTCAAATGTATTGTATAAACAGATCACAGTGTGTCAGACTTTGTTTCTAATCACCGAGTAACTTCATAGGAAAATAAGCACATCAGCACTGGAAAAAGGTGGTAACATTTTTATCTACTGGAAATACAACTTCAGGAGCTTTAAAGCTGATAGGAAACTCATTTTGGCTGATGTAGTGTAATTTTTTTCCTCCATATCACTTTAAAAGCTTTTCATCTTTTCTCTTTTTTAAGGGGGTGCCAAAACTAATTTGTCCTCTAATTTGTTACAGCAATTCCATGTTCTAGAAGAATGTTTCAGAGGAAAGTCAACTATTTTAGATTTCATTATATTTTAATGCAAACTACGATATGCAAATTAAAAGATGCATATGGTTTCTTGCATATAATTTCTTTGAAAATAGTTTAAATAAATAAGGAATGTAGTTATTTGACATTGTGTGGTGTTACACTTTGGGAGCAATCAGACTGTGCAAATGGTATTTGGCATGAATTTTGTTTATTGCTGGTTTCAGTGTAAAATATGCTTCCAGAGTGTTCGGTGGATAATACTCGAGAGTAGTATCGCAGTCAGTTTGCATAGTAAGTGTACTTGCGTTTCTCTGTTCTAAAACTAGGGAATTGGTTCTAAAAATCTTTGAAAAAGATAATAGTCATCACCAATTATATCTTCCTATCTGTGAGAATGTAAGCTGGATAGTAACCTTTAATAATTCAGAATCTATAGTGCCATCATCTCAGAAATACGAAAAATGTTACACATTTTATACAAGTAAAAGAAAGTTATTTTATTTCACTATTAAGCCAAAAACAACGGCAATGTGTTTCTTCTAAGCTTGGTTTTGAGATATCAGGTAACTCCTGGTTGCTTTTGAGAGAAATTTGGTTTAGAACAGGTATCGAGTATTTCACTTGGCATATTCTCTGTCTCTGTTTTTCTGTCTGTCTTGCTCTTCCCTCCTTTTTCTCTTTCGCTGCAGGAAATATAAGTGATTTATAGATAATCGGAGTCTTCAGCTTAGAGTATTGTCTTGGGCAGGACTTTTATCCAGGATCCACTTTCCCACCTATTACAAAGAAAAACAATCAAAAATGAAATAATGGATTGTAACTTGATTCTTTCTTTTGGGGGAGTGGTCACTTCATGTCTTAAATGACAAACAACTTCCATAAACAATAAATAACTTTAGACTAAAGCACTTTAGCAAAAAAAAAAACCCCAACAACCCCAAACTTTGTAAAATCAGACATCTGTAAGCATTCCTAGCAGCACCTCTCCTGCTTGTTAGCTGAGAATTTTAAATGTACAACCAGGACACAGAATTCTTGAACTCTTTATTACAGCTGTCTCTGAATGTAAAATCTTAACCATTTGGGACTTAATTCTTTATGAAAAATAGAGGTACCTGTGAACATTTAAACTAAGTGAAGTAATTTTAAAATATGCTTTGTCAATTAAATTCCATTTTTGGAATTCTAAAATTGTTAGGATAGAACATGTTAAAATTCCAGGAATCCCTAAACAAGATTTGTTAAAGATTTCCAATATGTACCGGAAAAAAGTAAATTTATTATTTGTTAATCTTTAAAACACTACATTATCCTTGGAATTACTATGAAAGCTCCTTCCAAGAACATAGATAAAAGAAATACTACCCGTGTAATTTTCATGTATTTGATTATTTAGCAGAATTATTGAAACTTGTGAAATATTCCTCTGATAGGTTTTCTGAAGTGAGCAGAAAACTGTGTGTTAAGTCCTTCTGACCTGTACACCTGATGTAGCACAGAGAAGCAATGTAGTTTTTCATTGGTCATAAAAATTGTATTTAATTAGTGATGAAAATTACATGATGCCGTATTTTTATGTAAGATGTGCAGTGGTATCTATTATGACTTCAATATTGGGAGTCAGCCTATGCTTCTTCAAAAAAACAGCCATTAGAAATATTTTTCCCAGCTTTTTAATACCTTGGCATGGTCTCTAAAAAAAGTGGGTTTAGATGTGCGTAGTAAGAATTGGTGAATAGGATGTGAACCAGACATGAAGATAAAGGTTCAAGCACACAAGGTTAAGTTCTTCTGTGTGGCTGGCAAGTACTAAAACTACATGCAAGATTATCTCTCTTTTCATTGTGATGACTCCTTAATTCTCTACTTCTTAACATTAACATTTAGGGAGGGATTGCGTCTGCAGAACAGGGCATCTTCCAGTATTGCATGGAATTAGGTTCTTCTACAGCCCTGTGGCACAGCAAGCCCTCCTCAGACTTGTCGGGAGCATCTTGGCACTGCTATGCTCCATACGTAAGGGAGCGCGTAGGTAGGAAGGGGATCCAGCCCTCTCCCTGGCAACAAGTCATACTTCTACAAATGTCAACTTTATTCCAGAAACTCTCCCAGAATGGGCTGCTCCAGAAATATCAGATGTGTGAGACAAGCTGTAGCATGATGTCCAGTAAGGACACATTATTAGCATGTTTTGTACAGGAAGCATACCCCTGAGTTGATGGCTTCAAGAACCTGATAGCTTCTGAGGGTGATCAGAGGGTTCTCAGCTTAGTATTACATTGATGCCTCCCTCTCTCATGCTCTTGCGAAACTCCATTCTCACTCCTGAGACTTGAGCGTCTCCCAAGTATCTGACAGTAGACGTGGAATCAGCCCAATGGATTGAGCCCTTTGCCGTGTTTTCCTCTTGCTATCTGTTTGAGGGACTAAAGGTGTTTCTGCAGGATGTGGCTATCCTTCCTTTGTTATGGTGTAATCAAATCTGCTTTACAAATTATTTTCATAGTGGTTTTAGTAAGTCACGTTGACTGTAAAAGACAGCTTGGTATAAAATGAGGACCCTAGGGTTCTGTCCTTTCTGTCCTGTCCTAGCTCTGTCACTACATCATGTAACTGGGTGAACAAATGTTCTCAGTTTACATCATGTTGGGAACACTAATCAGCTGGATGTTTTAAGTTTTGTTTCTTGCTTGCCAGCTGATTTAAGTCTGAGAAAGAGTTGAAGAACTTTAGCATAAGGAAAAGTTGAAGAATTGTGGTTTTGAGAGCTTTTTATAAAGAGGTGCTCTAAAGAGGTGAAGTTACAGCACTGTGGCAGTGAAGAGGTACAGAACTGTTTCTGTAGTAATAGCCTGTGAATTGGCTGACAGTCGTATTTTTTTGTCTACTCTACTCTTACACCATAGGCTAAAATCAGGTCAGTTTCTAAACACAGACCAGGTAAACTACCCAGCACTGCAACAGAAAACTGTATACAGCAGTTTGTATCAAGTGTAGGCAAACTGCTTCTGGGCAGACAAGAACTAACAAATACATTTCAAGTTCTCATATGATAAGCATTTGGGTTTGAAGTGTTTTGTTACTAAGTTTCTGTATTTTCATTCTCATTGTGCTTTGTTGGCATTGCCCAGAAATGAATGCTTCAGAACACTATTATAAATTTTCACCAAAATTTCCAGCATGTGCTTTCCAGATAAAATTCTAGATTGACATTAAGATAGGAGGCAGGAAATTTATTTTATTTACAATAATATACAGAATCTTTGTCATTTTTTGAACTGAAGACAAGCTTTGGCAAAACTCAGGAACGTGATGAATACATGCTATTTCCCACTTCTCTTAATTAATGCGTTTTGAAGTCAGATTCAGTGACTGATACTTGAAGAAATCAGCTAGCCTTTTGGGTCAGCTCAGTGAGCGCTGTCCAGTTACAAAAGATGGGGCACAGAAAATTAGAGATGTTTGCATGAAGAGTAGACAAATAGAACAGCTACTTTTCCTCTTTGTGGAACACTTCGGCATCTGATGCTGACACTAGATAAGTCCCAATATCATCATATATGAAGTTTTAGAGTATATACTGTATTTAGATTTACTGTTGTTTAAATCTACAGTTTTAATTCTCTTCTGGTCTGTTCATACTTTGTGGTTAGTATTACAATCCATCAACCCATATAGCAATTGCAAACTATTTATGCACTTCTTTCCAATTAACAGCTTGAATATAGGATTCTTTCTTTCCTCCCAAACCTTTAAGGTCTTCTGCACAAATCCAATTTACCCAGGTTTTGCATGAGGGATCAATAAACAATTGTAGTCTTATACACATATCCAGTCGCTTTGCTTACTCCAATACAGCTGCTATAACCGTGTTAATTCAAGAGCATTAAAAATACAGAAACTACCAG